TCGAGACCCCACTGCGTAGCGGTTGTGCAGGAAGGCGGCGTGCCGGTTAATCCAAGCATATATGTGGCAATGCCCCTCGACCTTCGCCTTGATCCTGTCCTCAAGGAATCCGAAGCGTGAGGCCACCGCGGCGGATCGTATCAATGGCCTTCTCGACCTGGCCGTTGCTTGCATGGGAGCCCTTCTCGATGAGCCGGGTGTTGGTAACAAGGCCCAGGCGAGACCGGCAGGCCTGGACTGCATTGAGCGCCTGCTTCACGGAAGGCTCTGGGTCGCCTTGCACCAAAATAGGCTCACTCGGGCTGACCTGCAGGCTGAGTCGCACGAGGTGCTCGGTGACGCGCTTCAAAGACCCAGCCCCCTTCTCCAAGATTGGGAGGCAGGTGATCCATCCAGTCGTGCTTTCGGAAGCCACCAACGTCAAACCAAATTGGTCCCTATAGTCAACAGGCTTCTCACTCAGGATCTCCCCGACACCACCTGCCTCGGCATTGGGCTCATTGTCTTCGCTTGGCTGGGCCTTCTCGCCGCTCGCGTCGTCATGGTCCGCCTGCGGGCCCGCCTGCTGCTCCCCCTCTTGGACCTCATGCTTCTGTTTCGTAAAACTGTAGGCGTAGTCGATCTGGATCATGGGCTCAGGGCGCTCCACCTCCTTGACCTCCTGCTCTCCCGGTGGCGCTCTGGCATGCGGGCTCTGACGGCTCCGGCCCAGAACACATGCCTCGCACCAGGGCTGAAAGGGTTGGTGCGTCACGTTGTGCAGCTCCTGCTGCCGGGCTGACGGCAGGATGGGTGCCCGAGGTGCATCTGGTTCACGCTGGACATCTTGCGAGCCACCTCCGCCGTCAGCTGTTGCTCTAGCTTCTCCCTCTGCAGCCTAAGGCGCCGAAGCACCTTGTCTTTTCCCCCACTTCGGGATATCCCTTGGCTGTCGCAAAGCTCCCGCAAAGTTTTCAGAGGGGTGTCGACGCTGAGAGCCACGCCCTCGAGCTGATCGCCCTCTGGAGCCGGAGGCTCCTCAACTTCTCGGCCTTCCACTGCCATCCGCTCATCAAGGTCCAGGCCGCCCTCGGGCTCGTCATTGGCCTCGCCGCCGGCCGCGACATAGGGCGCTCCCAAGTCACTGGCCGAGTCGTTGAAGACCCCGGCCGGGTTAGAGAGGATATCCTTGGGCCATGGGGAGCTCGGCCACGTGGAACAGGGCTAGCACGTCCCTGGGCCCTTCTAGGTCGTCGTCGAGCTCCGAAATCACCTTGCTAGCCTCCTCGTACTTCTCGGTCTCGACTGTGAGAATTTGCACCCACACGTCGTTCGGCTTTGGGGGCCGATTCGCAACCTCGACCCGCACAAAGACAGCCACCCAGCTCCAGTCGGCCAAGTCCCACAAGGAGCGCTCAAGGTCAAGCTCCGTCACCTTGTGGGCAACCAGCACGGGGAGGCCGTTCTCGATGATGTGCCACCCCTGGCTGCCCGCAACTTGCTCCAGTGGCCCCGGTAGTGTGCCCAAGTCATCGTAGGTGTTGAGGGCCCGCACATGTCCAGCCCGAGGTCCGGCGACAATTGCCGAGACAGCCGCCGTGATCACCAAGGTGTTCCTTCGCAGGCGGATCGGCACAACATGGCCGCCCCTCTCAATGGTCGGCCTGCCCTCAAAGCACCCAAGCTGCCAGCCCCAGCGTAGAAGCCGGCCAAGACTCAGGATCACCGACTCGACCTTTGCAATCGCGAACTTGTCCCGAAGGACAACCTCACAGCCCTCAAGCGTCTTCACCGCAATGTCGATGGTGCGGTTCCCGCACTCCTTGATGCGGTTTCCTTGGGCGTCTTGCATTTGCACGCCGCTAGCCTTGCTTGCTGTCCCCAAGTGCTTCAGCCGCAACGGCGCCACCGATATGTCGGCGCCAGAATCGATGATCACATCCACCTCGATCCCCGCCGTCACCATGTTCACCACGGCCGTCCTCTCGCAAGGGGCCCCGGCCTCGCTCTCCCAAAGCTCTGGGCACAAGGTCCATTCCCCGTCGCTGTCCGTGGCATCCATGGGGTAGACCTCGGCGCCGCCCGTGTTCTCAGTAGCTGCCTCGGTCTCAGAAGCCGTCTCGCTCTCGGCCTCCGTCACCTCCGCAATCCTTAGAACCCCCGTGCCCTCAAGGGAGAACTCGCCTTCGTCGTCCAGCTCGGTGATGTCGAAGACCTCGGTGATTCGGCACCCCGGCGGCGTGCAGACCTGCGCTGCGACAACATACACCGAAGCGCTTCCTCGGTAAACGGACGCCGAGGGAGGCAAGGTAGTAGACACCGTCGAGGGAGTCGCTGAAGAAGCTGGTGTCGAGGACGGCTGCTGCTCCACTTGGTTCACCTTTCCTTTCTGTGCTCGCCAGCCGCCCTTTCCCTTGCCTGCCCCCATTGGGCACTCCCACTTCCAGTGCCCACGTTTGCCGCAGATTCGGCATGCCTCAGGGTCGCTCCATGTGTTGGGCTGCCACTGGCCCCATTGGCCATAGCCTTTGCCGTCTTTGCCCTTTCCGGCTTTGCCTTTTCCATCCTTGCCGGTCTTGCCCTTGCCGTCCTTGCCCTTGCCTTTTCCGTCTTTGCCGCCTTTGCCTTTTCCATCTTTGCCGCTCTTGCCTTTGCCGTCTTTGCCTTTAGGCTTGCCACCCCATATGCGGTCCACGTCCATGGCTTGCTGGCCTCCATCGTCGTACCTCGCTCCTCCTCCACCTTTTGGCTGCCCGGCTGCGGTCCCCCATGGTGTATTTAACGACTCGTACTGCAAAATCCACTCACGCAGCTCAGTGTATGTTGTGCTCGGGCCCATTCTGAACTGAACCTGGGACTTGAGAGGCTCGCGCAACCCGGTCAGGACCGTCGCCAGCACCAAGTCCTTGCTGAACTCCTTCCCGGACGCAGCCTCATAAGCACGAAGGGCCTCCTCATAGCGGACAAGTTGCTCATGCATTCCGCCCGGGCCCTCGAACTTCCAAGCCGCCAGCTGCCTAAGCAGCGCAAGCGACCTCGCCTTCTCCCTTGGCTCCATCTCGTTCTTCAGCACCCTGACCGCCTCATAGCCCGACTTGCTTTGCTCAAGAGACCTCACCAAAAGAAGTGGCCTCCCCTTCAGCAGGGAACAGAGGAGGCTGTAGAGCTTCTGGCTCCTCTGCACCATCGGGTCGGGCAACAGCGCGTGGTCGACCTCGGTGTCCAGGTCGATGTTTCGAAGGTCGTCTTCATATCCCGGGTCGTGCGCTATAGGGTAGTTCGAAAGACTGAACCACCACTCCCTCCAGGTCCTCAGCTCCTCTTCCCGACCTTGCGGCTTCCAAGCATCCACTTTCAAGCTGCGCACCATATTGTCAGAGCGCTGGCTGCCAGCCTGCTGCTCCGCGGCTCGGGCTGCCCTCTCGCTCGGCTCCACCAGCTTCCCAAACATATTTGTAAAAGCCTGTTCCAGCCTCTGTTTCACGATGCGGTCCACGAAGTGCTCGGCCTGCTGCTGTTGCTGGCCTGGCTGGCCCGCTCCCGGGCCTTGCTGGCTTGATCCTGGGCCTGGCTGGCCCGCTGCTGGGCCCGGCTGGCCCGCTCCATCTCCATTTGCCTGAGCCAGCCCACAAGCCCCACCAAGTGAAAACCTGGCGGCTGCTTCCTCTGCCCTTGCGCCTTTGCGCCTGCCTCTGCTGCCACCTGCTCCTCTCCCTAGCAGTGCCACTCCACGGGCCCACCTGCTAAAAGCGTCCGGTGCTGCCCTCCCACAGGGTCTTACGCAAAAGGAAAAATCTGTAGTGCCGGCCCAGTCAAGTGCAGCGGCACTGGGGCTCTGGCAGATTAAACTGCAGCAGAGAAAAGCAGAAAAGAATATCGGTTGAAACCTGGTTGGCCCAAGGGCTCGGGGAAAAGTCGTGGCCCCTACCCTACGGTGCCTCTACGGGCTCTGGGTCCTGGCCCCGGACGCCACGGCCTTCGTGGGAGACCCAAAGGAATCACCACGCGTAGCCGGGCTCCGCTACCATGTAAAAGATCCTTTTCGCCTTGACTTCCAGGGCTGCGGTAGGTGCATCCACGGGGTTATAGTTGTAACAAAAAGAGAGAGGCATGTTGTACTTGCTTGCTGTCAATTCAACCGACAACTGAACATCTAATCTTGGCACAGGGGCCCTCGTTTGTGCAGGTACGCCAGACTGATCAGGTCTGGTATCCACCATTACGCATAGCTTCGTTGGCATGCGTTTGCGTAATGGCCGCATGCCCCCTGCATACAATCATGTGTTTGCAAAATAATGTTTCAAAATGGCATCAAAAACCGACGGAAAGGAGTGACCCTCTGCTCCCATGTGCTAGGGAGGTTCACACACACACACACACAGTAACATACATACATACATACATACCTACCTACATACATATACACATCCATGTGTGCGGTAACGGAACTGAAGAAACTGACTTGCCGTGGCGACAGCTCCGGGAGAGACACCGAGCCTACGCAGTGTTCTCACCTTCATGTCTAATTTGGCGGCTGCTGGTATGCGGCTCAAATTTGCCAGAAACACCATCAAGTGGAGGGCTTTGGAGGCCATTAATGGAGTTGCGTTTGCATACTACACACTACCCACTAATTTTCGCTGTACTACACTGTCACAACACGACTCTCAAGACATACGCGACACTACACGATGACGCTACACTACAGAACACGACACTACACGACACTACATACACATATACATACACATACTCTTGCACACGCATACCCTGATTCCCAGGCTTTGCCCCTTGTCATCACACTCGAAGTATGCAGCTCAATCTTGGTACGGTCATGATGAAGCAGACAAATACGAAAACAATGCACGGCAGCACGCGCCCACGGGTACAACAAAGTGGCCAACTCTGGCTTCCCTCACCACTCGGAGCTTGGTTGGACACAGTCCCGGTGGCGTGCTGCTGCGTGCTGTGTTCCACTGCTGCTAACCTCACACACACACACACACAAGCACACCACCTGCCTGAATCGGCATCTACTTCTTGCTTCACCTGGACGTACGAGAATGTTTGTTGACAGAACCACATCTACAGAAAGGTGACGCAATACGAACTGCTTGAGGAAGACTAAAGCAAGTGCTCTTGATTTCGCATCGATTTCTCATGGTTTGTTCCCATTGTGACCATTTGCACTGTCCATTTGCCATGCCCGTGCAGAGTACAGTCGCCCTCACTCCTGTGCAAGGGATCTCTGCGCATTTACGCACAGCTTAGTTGCGCCTCCGCCTTCACTTCCAACTTCATGATCTCACCTTTGAGCGGTTCCTGGACTCGAGGCGATCTGCGAGAAGAAATCTAACGAACTTGGCAGTTCTAGAAGCAAGCTAGAAAAGCCAGGCTGCGCACATAGCGCTGGGATGTCTTTACTAGAAAGTGTGATGCTGCTGCTATAGACCCGAAGCAGCTGTAGGTAAAGGCTCGGCTGTGGATGAAGGCTCCTATCACGTCTGCCCAGTTGAACGAAACATGATGCTGGCACCTTGGGAAGCTCCTTCAAACCCTTGAGCTCACTTTCCTGGCGTGTCGGCATGGCTCAATCGTAAGCCGCTCCCAGACACTCCAGGTTCAGAGCTCACAAGAACACGAGGCGGGACAGTTCCAAGAGCTTGTACTTTTATTCTTTCCAGCTTGGCATCACGGTGCGATGCGAACCTGAATGGCATCGAATCCGCACAGCACTGTCCCAGGATGGAAGCAACCGATGACGATTGTTTGAGACCCGGACCCCAAGCCTTTCAAGGTTCCGTCGCGAACGGCTTCTGCCAGCATGTCTTCGTTACTTGTCACAACCTACCAGGAATGTGAAGGAACAAAAATCGCCGTCTCGCAGTGTCGCAGGGGGGCCTCTTCGCCCAGCTCATTTCGCATGACCTTCTTTTGCGGGCCCATGGCCTCACTGGCGGAACGCCTCTGTCCAGCTGAACTCGCTTCCGCTGGCCATGGCCTCCCGACCTGTGTCTTCCTTCTTAGACTTCAGGAACTCCTGGAAGCGACAGCATGCCGGCCGCTTTGGCCGCCCCACGACCCCAAACCCCTGTCTTGTTTTCCGGCACCGGCTGGACGAGGCATGAGATGTGGCTACTCGAGTGATTGGTGGCCCACTGGTGCTGCTGCAGGCTGTCTGACTCGCGGATATGGACCGAGCCCTTCGACCAGGGGGCAAGCGATAAAGCGAGAAGTTGGCAAACGGCTCCTGCACTGCCGCGCAACGACGCAATGACTGATGGGCATATCATGCTCGCTCCCAAGGAGATCTACGAGAGATCCACCCCCTCTCAACGTGCTGCAGGCACGTGTCATCAGTTCACGCATCTGACACGAAGACCTCTCAGACAATGCAAAATTCAGGTTGCGACTGATCTCAATGGGGTCTTCAATCTTCAGGATATCACTCTAAACTGCCTCTTAAGCAGGATCGAGAACTCAGAGTCATTCACCGGCAGTCGCTTGCCCAATCTCGCAGATACCACCTCATTGCCCCAATCGAACTGCTCCGAGAAAAACCTTGCTGCATCTCACGACAATAACCTAGGGGTTCTCTTCAGCGGCCTCATTATGCAAGCCTCAACATGGTGAAAGACTGATCCCCCAAACAGGGCATGCTCGTAAGCCGGGGAGCTCAAAAAAGCCGCCCAGCATATCTACCAGGGAATGGTTCAGTTCTTGCTTCTTCGCACTCTGCACGTAAAACAGGGCAAGTGTCTGGGTCGGCTTCGTTCCTTTTCGCAAGTAGATCTCCGGATGGAGATAAAACGTGAAGAGACGGCAAGCCGTGACAGACCTGAAGGTAGTACACCTTGAGAGCGCTCCAAAAGCAAAGACCCCGTGAGCTGTCTCAGATGCAAGTTGGAAAGGGCACTGCCAAACTGCCGTCACAAGCAGAGTCAGCTTGCTTCAATCTGGAACCGCTGGTTGCTTGAAATGCGCAAGAACAGGCATTTTGCAGAAAATGACTGGTTGCAAACATTGGGTCCAAAGAGTGGGTTTCCTCCTCCACCAACATGTTTTTCGTGCGGGAGCTGGTCCGGATGGTGCCGTTCGAGTTCGTGAGACTGCTCAACACGAAAAGCACAGAGTTTTCTTGACATGCAGCGCACACCCCGTATATCCAAGCTCAACAGTGGCATCTTCGTTTTCTCGCTCGGCAGAGCACGTAAGACCTTCACGCCACGTCGAGACATCAACTCTTTCTGCAGGTTAGGGCTTGATGAGGGGTCGGGCGAGCTTCTGGAAAAAGCAGTACGATGTCCACATCGGAACTTCCTTCACAGAGTCCCGTCAAAGTCTGGGACGTCTGCAGGGGCGAATTGCAAGAAGGTTGCAGAGTGACCAGTTCACGAAGATCACTAGAAAGGCTTCCAAGGAAGAGAAGGAGAAGCCAACGCCTTGGATATGAATGTCCCACCTTCATGTAAGCTTCAGAGTCGTTTTGTTGCGGGCGACATCTTCTGCTTTGGATGCAGGCGGTACAGGCAGGTGCGGCATCGGGCGGGACGAATGGCACGCGAGTTGTACCCCTCCATGAGTGCTGTTGACTGAGTGAGTTGCCTGCGCTAGCCTTTACCCGTACAGAAACCTGCTAAGACTTCTAAGAGCTCTGGAATCCACAAAAGCATACAGTCCTGAGCAGGCTGGCAACTGTCGGATCTCTATGCCCCGTCAAAGCCTCTCCTATCTACACACCCCGGCAGCTCTGAAAGATCTGCATCTGCAGCCAAAACGGTGGTGCATGTCAGCAGGAGCTTAATCAGCAGAACCACATGACCAGGTCAGGTAAAATATTGTACCTTCTCATTACGAGACCACTGCAGCGGGGACCATTACCAGAACCTGTCGAAACCTCTGCAGAGGGCATGTTTCGCGTCTTCACCAACATCTCAATACTCATTCTGCAAACGCACAGGTCTAGCCTAGAAAGTTTCATACATCTAGCCACATATGCAACACCAGCCTCACCCCCGCCTGTCAAAAAACTATCTCCGCCGCAAAATCTAAGTCGACTTGACAGTGATCTTCCGTGCCCCGAACTTGTGTCAGCGCTGGACATGTTTTGGAGTCTAGACGTTCCCACTTGCCCTGTTTAGCCTTTGCACCACAATTACTGGAATATGACGGAGCTGGGTGGCGCGGTCCCGCGAGCCACAATCGAGACTTTGGGGGTGTTCACCGTGTTGCACCAAGTTCTTGCTAGATGCTAGCCTTTAGCAAAACTCGACAGGAGAAGCTTTGCAACTTTGCACTGCTCCTTCAGCTCCTCCTGGCTCGGGTGAATGTCAGCAAGGTGTGTCAAGAAAGAACACGTCAGCCTCGCTCATCTGCTTTTTTGCCAGGAGAAGCTTCTTGGGTTTTAAGCCCAACGCCTTGCATAGATTTCACAAAACAACGGGCAGCGCCAACTGGAAAGAGCCACTCCTCTTGCATCAGCTCCTCTTCATAGGCCTTAGAATCAGCTTGTCCCGAAGTGCTTCGAACACAGACATATGCTATCTTCAGTCAATGGCAACGTGTACAGAATGTAACGCATGTAACAACCCATGCCTGCACAGCTCCGCGCTCTTCAGCGATGCTTGCCTTGGCATGGTAGGATCTCCATGTTACTATGCGAAGCCGAGAAGCATGCTATCATCAACTTGGAACTCGGTGATGAACGGTAGTGTCTCGCTTTCTTGCATACCAGTCGTGCATGTAGTACTTGCCGAATTTGCCCATTTGACCAACCTCGACTTCGCGGACAGCGAGACAGAGCGGGAAGGGGCTATGTTTGGGAAACACGTTTTCCAGCTCGAGAAGATACTTGATGCGACAAGACAATGCAATGCAAATGATCATGCGCCTTCATCGACTGGCCGAGATACGATTCGCGGTCCTGCGATCTTAATCTTACCATAAGGGTTGACATGTGCGGACCGGACTTGCAACTAACCGTGCAAGTTCTCCTTGAATCCTAGTGCAAACCGTGCGCCATCATGAACCGTCCTTGTACTCCTGTTCCTTGATGGACCTCCATTGAAACTGCTCACGTCCACCCCGGCATCCATCTTTGATTTTCACCTGTGCGATCCCTGTGAATATGTCCCAGCAAGGACCGAAGGCCGTCACAGGGAAACAAGGTCCACAAAGTCAAGGGGCACTGTGCTTCGCACGAAAGACACATGCAATGGACAGACATACGGCCTTTACGTCCACCATGCTGCAGTGGAAGGCGGAAGGGCGATACTCAGCTTTGAAATTGAATGTCGCACGTACCACGACTAGCCGACCAACCTGCGGGTTAGTTTTGTCTCTACATCTCGCCACGGTTCCGTTCACGTTGAATTTGTGGCGTAACCGAGCTTCAGTGTCAGTGTGTGTGAACCATGAGATCGTTAAAACCGGTCTTTCGATACGATGAAGCATTGGGCCCGTCTGCTGCCGATTGACAACAAACAAACCATCATACTTACTTCAAGCATGGGTGACGACAACTTTCGTGTTGCATGAAGCTTCCACACAATCAGCAAATGGACCGAATGGGACTGGCTCCGAGAACTCGCTACGCGAGCACTTCAAAAGGCGTGCAGAAGGTTAACAGAAACGCAAGGGTCCATCAAATTTCATTGTTGCGTTCTGAGCAATATGCCATATGCCTGCAGTGAATCCCATCAACAAAGTTTAGTTTATTGCCGCTGTTTGTGTGCTCATGCGATTTTTCTTGGTTTGGGTGAAAGTTGTGATTTGTCCTTCTTCGAAATCTAGTTTACATCCGTCTGCATATTGCATATCGAAATGTAGCTAACATCCGTCTGCATATTGCATATGTAAGGCATATTACTCAAGGCATATTACTCCCATTTCGTTCACACGTCCTTTGAAGCCGTGCTGCTGAAGCTTTATGCGGCCACGATTTGCATTTTGGGTAACTTGCGGCCATGGCGGATCTTACTTTCGGAACTCGATGGCCTTTAGGCATGTAAACGTGGGACTGCCGTCGTTTCACTGTTTGGGTATATTAAATTTTGAGAAGCTTCGCGTGCTAGACAAAATGATCGCAATGCCCACAAAACGCATACGTTGAGTCATGAACCATAAATTATTTCATTGTCTCGTACCTCGTCTGGCTTCTCTTCCCAACGCTGCATGCGCTTATCTCTCTCTCTCAGTCGCGCAGAGCGTGTCCACAAGTGAGACCGCTCGTCAGCAGCCCTGTCAATGGGACTAACGTGCGGGGAAAACATAGAGTCGGCGGAAGCATACAGCTTGGGGAACAAGTTCCGGAAAAACTACATACACGATGGACATGTCTATACAGGGCTCTTCGCTACCCTTTTCGGGTGAGACGATGGCAGGACTAGGGTAAATTTTCCGGCCAACGTGGGGAAAAACTTAGTCAGAAAGGACGCTTCTAGAGTCGCTGGTAAAGCTCACCCGACGCACACGGGGAATTCGTGACCACTCGCCGATAAAAGATGGATCACCTGATAAGTCAGTTGACGTTGGTGTAAAGCGTGGGAAGGCCGTGGTCCCCCGGTTCGCCTCATGTCGGCTCCCCTAGACAGCTTTGTGGAATACTTCAAACGGGGCAATTGCTAAGTTGGAGTCAATGTCATCCAGTGGGAAGTTGCTGTGCAAGCTTTGACAGATCATATGTATGGTCATCCAGAAGTGTGTCCCGTCGTACGGTGTAGACATGCACCTGCAGACCTGACAGTCTGATGGGATGTTCCAGAGGTTTCCGGTTGCGTCATTGGGAGCCACCGGTCTCCCATGTTTGGCAAAACACGAAGGCAAAAAGTGGCAGGGTCAAGTGGAACAAACGTAGGGAGGCACACCACTCCCACATCGGTCTGGAAATAGAGTGCGGGATGACATTCAGACCCACATAAAACCTCCAGAATAATTTGTTGGAAAGCGTGATACCAGTCGAGGTTGATGGTCAGGTGGGAAAAGTCTAAGGAGAGCCCATCCTCCACTGATAATCTGATCATCGTAGCGGTGGAATTGAGTACCGACCTGCAGTGGACGGTCAGGCGCATGTGCTTGTATTGGCAATCGGCAAGAAGTCGTAATGTCAATCACTGCGGGACATAGTGGCAATCCTGCGGTTCGCGCGAAGCTGGTACCATGCCGGCACGGATAGGGAAAGGGACGATCCACGCTGTCTTGCGCCAGAACCTGCATGCGCTTATGAACGTCGAAACCTTGTTCCAACATCGCTCAAAAAGCGACTCCGCGGCACCAGACAAGGCTGTGAACAAAAAGCTTCGAGACAGGCAGCTCCACCCCCGGGGTCCGACCATGCATCTTCGCCTTCCAAAATTACAATTTCGAAAAAATAAAAGCAAGAGATCGACAAACAGAACTCAGGCTTGGGGTTCGGGATAACTCCAATTCGAACCCAACCGTTCGTAAGTTTGGCTTCTCCTTCCTACCGGATCTGCGTAGCACACAGCCGCTGACAGCGAAACCTTGTGTTTATGGAAGCAAAAACACATTTGCGAAATTGAGCCTTCCAAGTCCACATACACAGTTTTCGAGTAAGAATATTCATACGTAAAGGAATGCAAGCACCGGGACGAAACTTCTTGTTAAACAAAAAGGTCCGAGCTCCTGCTTCGACATTGGGCAATGGCGAACAACAACTTCAACCAGATCAACTTTTGTTGCAAGCGCTGCGTCCAAGCTAGGTTCCGTTTTTGCCGACCGTTCGCAGCGTGCTTTCTGCACAACTCTGGTCCAAGAAACTCTTCTTTGCGGTATAGTGGTTTCCATCCAAACAAACCATGCGAGCATTGCACTTCTCGAGTTGGCGAGGCAGTAGGTGTGGAGTAGAAAAGATCGTCAATCTGTCCGAAGTGAGAGAGTCCTTGGGAAGCTTCCACCAAGTAGGACTCTGCCCGGCTTGGGTCGACCTGCCCTGCTGGGGCAGCGTGTATGTCTATACACAGTGGACGTGGAAGGCATAAAACTGGCCTGAACCCCCAGGGAACCGGAGTGTCTGCAAAGGCTGCAGAATTATTTTTTTTGTTTTTTTTCCGGTATTCTTTTTGTTTTCCTTCTTTTCTGGCAAATTACATGCAATTTACAAGTTGCACGACGTCTGAAGTGCCGACTTCTGTCTAAATGTACATCTGCAAGCGTGTCTACTCATGCAAGCTCTCTGCCTTTTGCAGTTTGCACGACATAGCTCGATTCTTGCTCGGCCATCCGGAGGGTGCCGGGGTACAGCATGTTTTAGCTAGCGCATGGATTACTGTCGTGCGTTCTTGCTGTTTTCGGGAGCTGGTCTTGGGGTCTTGGGGGGTGGGGGTGGGGGGGACTGATGACGTCCACTTCGCCACCATCATCATGATCATCGTCATCATTGTCATCATCATTGTCATCATCACGGCATAGTCATCTTTTACGCTCCGGTACGCACATCATCCCCACATGAGGTTAGACCCTCAACACAACAATAATTCCGCCCCAGCAACAAAAAAGCGACCCAAACCATACAAATCTGCCCCCGCCGAAAACAGCTAGTTTTTGCTGTAGAAAAACTCAAAACCCAAATTCAAGCGAATATAAGTTGCACTCATTCCGTAAGTATAAAAGTCAATCAACTCATATCGTATCGCATCACTCGGACCCTTCTTTTCTTTCAGGGGGCGCACCGGGTTGCCCGGCCTTAGGCCGCGGGCTAGGCGCACTGCCAACATGCCGTTCGCATGTTGGGCCAACGTAGAGCACAGCCTACGGAGTGGTTCACAACTGGAATCGCAAGATCGGCCCCAAGCGATCTGAAGTCTCGACGGGTGTGGTGGGAGGGTAGTCGAGACCCACCTCCCACTCTTGAGCAGCAATGTAACACGACGTGGACATTTCACATGCTCTTCAAGGAAATTTCTTCACTCAAGAAATCACTGCTCGAAAATACATTGCTTACAGTGGGAGAGGCAGCACACGGGTTAGGGCATTAAGGTTTTTGAGTTTTCTTCGCTCGCCGCCACGGCGGCTCGTCACGAACGCAAAAAGGTACTAGCTGTCGTCGCAGGCTAGACAGCAAAGGTACTTTTTGCTGTAGAAAAACTCAAAACCCAAATTCAAGCGAATATAAGTTGCACTCATTCCGTAAGTATAAAAGTCAATCAACTCATATCGTATCGCATCACTCGGACCCTTCTTTTCTTTCAGGGGGCGCACCGGGTTGCCCGGCCTCCCCAGAAAGTAGCAACACGGTACGTTCCCACTCAAGACCAGAGATTACAAGTCGACCAGCGGGATGCCCGAGATGGGGCATGAGCACTTAACTCGTAATGCACCCGAATCAACAAGTGCTCTGAACTCACCGCGTGACGGGTCGTCTGAAGGATTGGATGCGGAAGGGACCCTTGTCCAGTATGTCCACGATGGACCATGTTTCTCACAGCATTCCCATGTGAGAAGCAGCTCTCGAAAGTGATCACTGTTAGACGTTCCTCGCACAAAGCTGAGAAGGACAGCGTCGTTGTCAACGAAGAAAAGGCAATACTGTCCAGACATGTACTGGTGGAAAGCCTTGCGTGCCAGGGCGACAGCGTACGCCTCAACGGGTCCGATAATATGCTTCAGATGCTGCCTCCATCGGTCTGCCAAGGCACAAGGAACTTCGCAAGAAAAGAATCGGGGCCGCGCATCAGAAGGAGAGTAAAGAATACCTCCAACGGTGTTGCCAGACTGTTCGCTTGCTCCGTCCGTGAAGATCAAAACAGGCTTAGGGGCAACCACACAAGGGACTACCCTAGGGGAACCGAAAGAGAGGCGATCAATGAGAAACTCGAAAGCCTCGATCTCGCGGGGACCCAGAACAAACCGGGAGGCGTGGCGTGTGGAAGCGGCTCTCAGCTCCGCCAATGCGAGCTTGCCGGTTCTCCCCATGACTTGCGCATCGGAGAACTGGACACGACCTGCAACCCTGGCAAAAGTACGCATCTTGATGCAACCTTCACTGATGCATTCACGGATGGCATCACACACCTCACTGGATCGGCCTTCCTTGTTCCTAATCCGAATGACACCTTCCCTGGCTCCTTTCAAGTCAATCTCGACCCCAAGCATGGAAGCGACGTCTGCAAATGGGCTCAGTTTGTCAAGGGATGCGGAAAAACCAAGCACTGAGGACAACACAAGCAAGGTGTCCATGGTGGAACCTGAAAGACAGCACGGGCTCATCACTGGATAATCGTCAACGAAGTTGGCCCAGAACAAGAAGACTTCCAAACCTATCCGCCACAGCAACCTAGACAACCTGTTGAAGTGGAGCACGGACGATGTGCTTCCAAAAGGCAGAGCCTTACCCTCAAACAATCCCAAGTCGCCATTATCCGGATTGAGAAGGGCAACGACGGAGAAGGCACGATGGCTCGGGTTCAACGCAAATTGGCGATAAGCATTCTTCAAATCAAAGGTGCACAGCTCAGGACACCACGACGAACCCGCCCAAGCAGGGTGCACTCGACCAACCAACGGTGGTCCGCTGGCCATGTCCAGAAAGAATTGATGCTCCGTCGTGTGAGCTCGGATCCAAAAGCGACATATTGCAATGATCTCGTCAAGTGCCCTTAGATCTAACTTATCCCCATAAGAAAAAGAACCGTTAACTAAGTTCTCAGAGTAGTCGTCAATCGGTCTCAACTTGCGCTTGCCTCCAGAAGATTGAATCACGGCGAACCGGCGCACAGGGGCCCATGCGTCGCCGTACCTTCTCGTCAGCTCTTCTTCGGTAAGTGGTCCCTCCAAGAACCCTTCGGCAACTTCAGTCAAAGTCTTATCCCACAGTTCAGAGGAATGCTCATTCAAACCCTCGGACAAAACCTTCCCCAAAAGCGCCGGACGGATGTACTTACAGGCCTTAGTAAACTCGTCAGCCGTCCTCTCCTGGGGACGAGGCTCCTTTCTAAAGACACCAGTGGGCTTCTGCCAACCAACCAAACCAAAACCCTTACAAGTATCCTCAAACCATCCATCGTCGGGCCACTTCAAGTCATCAGCAATGCGCTTGAGCAAGAGAAGCCTTTTTGATCCTAACACAGACCTCACACCAGGTTCGAGGCCCTCCTTAAGTCGGGACTCTGGTTCCTCCAATTCCTTGGCCCATTCTAACCACTTGTTGAGAGTGGCCACACGTTGCCTACCAACCCACTCAGGGCCCTTCACCAAGGCCTCATGAAGCTTTCGTTTCACTTCGTCGGGGATGACAGCAAACGTCTCGAAGGGATGCCGTAATCCTTTGGCCTCCTCCAGAAACTCATCCGGTGTTGCATACACACCAACACTAATTTCGAAGCCACCCGACTCCCCCGTCTCCTCAGTGGCGAGAAGTTTGGAGCCTGCGGGGATGTCACCGATGGCGTGCTGCAAGCAATTTTTATGATCCACAGGCGGAATCTGTGGCACACGACATCTGCAAACGCGACCAAATTCTCTGATGAGGCTCGCACCAAGTTTACCCCGACGCTGCTGTGTGACAGGCGGAGGGCTGGACTGCAGCGGAGACGAAAGAGGGTCAAAGCCACAGTGTTTAGCCACGGCGTGGGCAACCTGCTGACAGAAAAGCCTGGGATGAGTATCAACACCGCCAGTCACAGGCGTGTGACTGTGATTACCATGGCACACTTGTTGTAAACACTTGAGTGCACTACAAGACGTTAGCAGTTGCCTCCGCAAGCGATGCGGAGAATCGAAGGCACACAAATCGTACACAACGGTAGTGGTGTTGGTGAGCTGGCGCACAGCAGGCATATGCCACAGGAAGCTGGAATGCGAATGCTCAATGGACCAGGCGATGCCCATTTGTTGAACTCGTTTTAAGAAGGTGATGACATGTTCCAACAAGGAGTCGGCCAATGCGAGCCTTTGAACCTGAGAGGCGTCGGCGCCTCCTACAGGAACGACAGATCCATGGGACAGTCGTCGGAGGCCCTGCTTAGGTCCATAGGTGGCATACGGCAAATCAATGTGCACGTACCGAACATGATAGTTGTCGAGCACATGCGAAAGATACTGCCACGAGCTCGGCAAGGCAAGATCCAGTGAGCACAACTTGGCCAACGGAAGCCGGTGACTTCCCCTATCTATGGGCATGACCTCAAAGCCAATCTGATGAAAGGCTCGGGACAAAGAGCCTGCACGGGCAAACAGCTCGAGCACAATACCAGGCTGGTCAACCGGCTTGGCCTGAACCTGACCAGTAGACACTACGGAATCTGCTACGGGGGCTAAACCCGACTTGGAGGAAGCTAGAGGCGGGGAAGTCACTGGTTGTGCGAGGACGAGTGGTTTTGGAAACTCATCAGTAGCACACCCCCCGGTAACGACCGGCGCTTCATAGCAAACCGGAGGCGACTGTTCGGCATCAAGAATGTCGGCTTGCATCGGGAGCTGAAATTCCAACTCGGTCAGTGTAGCACTATCAGTTTCACTAAGGTGATCAATGGCGGAGACTGAAAAAGCAACTAACACCACTCTATCACCCGACCAATTCCTAGTGGCGTGAGTCAACCGTCGAGCGGTGAAGACGGCATGACTGCCATCCAAGCTGAGTTCGACTCCACTGCGTAGTTCGCCATCAACATCGCACCAAGCTTGGCCGCCTGGTCTCTCAACCCACACCTGTCCCTGATCGAAGTCAGACAGTGCACACACAGCATTGGGCAAAGAAGAATTATGCGCATCCACATGAGGTGTGGTTTGAACGTTGTGAAAGAATGCTAAGCTCGTGAACTTTAAGCTGGGCAGCTGCTGTCGCACAAAGCGCGCGGCCAACTTTGTCACATTCGGGAAGAGCAAGACATTACGTCGCAGCCCAACCTTGACTCTGCAATAGGCACCTGTCGAGAAGGAGACTCCTTGTGATGGGTCACCTCGGACGGAAGCCTCTGTGGGGAGTGATTGGAATATCTCAAGTAAATCAGTGGGGGAAACAAAAACAGCATTGTTCAGCAGGGTCAGAGCTCGATCCTCGACCGAACCCTTGAATTCGTGATCAAGACTTGCGCTACTGATCGACTCAATTTCATCGATGGCCTTGACCTCATCAGCCTGAAGATTGGTTTGAAGTGAGACGCGTGCAATCTTGGGAGCAGGAGCCTGGGCCCCTAGTCACTCGGTATTGCGCTTTGGGCAGTTGGGGTAGAAGTGCCCGGGCTGGTAACAAAAGCAGCAAACGTGAGCACCCCTGAAGCACTTGTTGCCCGTCAATTGCCTAGTGGCCTAGTGCATTTGCCCCTCTGGGCATCAAAGCAAATGGGCACTCCTTTCGGGGTGTTTGCGTGCCCGTCCTTTAGGTCCTCTGGCATGGTCACCTCGCGGCGCGACGGTTGCTTACCCTTACCAGAACCTTTGCCCCGACCTTTGCCACGGCCATACGGAGTGGGTCTTTCAAAGGGAATCTTAGCGGGAGGAGGCGACGCGAGAGGAGCGAGCAAATGAGACACCTCGGTCAAATCGGCGCAACGCATCCACGCCTCGTCCAATGGACGACCGGTCTCCGTGACTTGCACTCCACTGCGACACTCATTAGCAGCGGTGACAAACAATTGCTTATCGGCTTGAAGCAGCTGCTGTATGCTGACTCGAGTGTATCCCGAAGGCACCTCACGATATCTGGAGTGCAACAGGCGATCAGCCCATTTCTCATGTTCTTTGAAACCTAACAATCCGGCCTGTTCCATTGCGAGTCCTCGCCGAGTGAGGGCGAACTTCAGTAACAAGTCAGTGCTCAAGTCGGCCTCACCTCGAATGTCGGCGTTCTTGATGTGAACATTACCGCTATTGTCAACTGTGAGGGTACGATCCTCCTTGTCCCGGGAATTCCGAGTCTCATCGTCCTTGCTCATGCACCAACTCAGCGGAAGATATGTAAGGCGATTGTTTTCATACATTTGACAACACTTGTCCACTGACCTGTCACTCGGTTCATTAGGCCCGGCGATAGTCAAGCCTGGATACCGCAGCACTTGACGAGCCAGACGATCTGCTCGGTCAGGAGCGGCAAGGCTCCTCGCTGGTGCATCGGTGGTGCGCTCAACCTGAGATTTAAGCTCGGCCGCGACCAAAGCAAAGGCCTCAGAGTGCAATCGGCGCAACACCGAAGCTCCCCCACGGTAGCATCCCTCTTCAACAAGTCCTTTATGGAAGTCACAAAAGGACCCTCATCGCTCTGACCCGGAATGAAGCTGCTCACATACGCAAATTTGGCAAGAGTGTTGACGCCACCATCGACAAGCAGCTGAAGCACCTCAGCTTTCAAGCCGAGTTTCGCAGCCCGGGAGCTAAAATTGGCCTCACTCTCAGTAATACTCATGGTTCCAGCTTGAGCCGACCTGACTCTCGCGAACCCATGTGGTCCCCATCGTTGTTGATCACAACGATTTGCAAACAACTCTCTACCGACACTCACACATCGCAACGTCGCTCAAGAATTGTTTCGCCTCCAACTCGTGTCGCGTCACCTTCAAAATCGCGATGCCACTGACATCCCATCACCGTGACACGCAGGGCCCATGGGCACACCGCACCGATGTGAAGTGTACAATCCTTGGCGCTGGCACGGTACACTGTTGCAACAACATGTGGACAAAACGCACGGGGCCGACACGGCACACCGTGATCACGCCAGGACCGTCCCTTTCACATCATCAATGTTCTGTCGTGGCGGGGTCTCGCTGACACACCGTTGACCCGACATGTGATACGACTCGGGGCAAAATGCACACCGATGACATTCTGACGCGGGGATAGCACACCGGCCATCGACCTCGGTCGGGGCCGCAACGGCACACCGTCCTCAGTATCCCTCTATGTCACGCTCGCCAAACACAAATCTCAGCTCTGATCCCCTCTAACCTGCTCTCCAACAGCAGGCTCGACACTGGAATCTGTTTTGACAGAGTTGAAGCACCTGGCACACACAGGGTACAGAAACGATGGAACAGCTGCCACCTTCTCGTAGTTCTTCGTGCATGTCCTGCCGCAAGATAGAGAAGTTCCGCCCTCGTCGGCAATCAAGTGCAGCATGCGTGAAGACCGATTGCGAACCAAGTGCTCTGCCTTCAACTCGCGCTTAGGCACTTCCTCACACCAATCATCCACGACCCCGTCCAGCGCTCGCTCGAGCTCCTGACAATCGGTCTCGGCATCCTCTTCATCAAGAGACGCCTCTGAGGAAGCTTCGTAGTCGTAGCTGGCGTTGGGTCCGCCGTGGGGAAGTACCCGCTCCGGGTACTGTCCGGAACAAAAGTCCCTGACCGAATGGCCGCGAGGACTTTCTCGAGCACCCTGACCGATGCCGATACGGCATCGCGGCTGTAGACTTGGGCGCTGCGGTCGCCCGGAGCCGTGTGATACCCCAACACCCTCTGATCATAGCTGTCGATGCCGAATCTGGCACACCAAGATAGACAAGTCGCTTTACATGAGTGCGTTCCAATAGGGGAACACTGAGCCTCAGAAAATCCGCACTTGCGGAGCACGTTCCTCAACCATCCAGCAGCGACCGAGGCACTCGGAGGGTGACTAGCCCAGTGTCCGGTGGTCAAAATCGCCGGCAGGACGGGCAGCCCCTCTCCAACAGGGACGTTCAATTCCTTTCTCAGTATGGACCACGCCTGGAACCAATCTTCGCCAGAGATACCCTTGCGTGGACACACCATCGGCAGCAGCTGAGTTTTCCTCTCAGTGGTGTAAGATGTCTTGCTGCGTGCGATGTCGGCCTGAAGGTAGCCTCCAAGCCCAGACGGGTCGACCTGCGGCTTGTCCTCGCTGACATTGTACATGTTCTGTGTATCAGAATACCTGGCCCTCATAAAAATCGAGAGCAAGAAGAATCCAGCTATGAACCGATCAATGCGATCCCCATCGGGGGAAACTATAAACCTCTCAAGTCGCTGTACCATCTCAGTCGACAACGGTGGGCGCTGGACCCTCTTCCGCTTTGTCAAGTAGCATGCCCTGGCCACACCACTCAATCTCATGCTAGCCATCGCCTCCTGAGCGCTCTCCGTTCCAAGAATGAAGAAACAAAAGGTCACCGCGCTCAGGAAGCTTTTGAGGAAACTCGGCGAGCATGTATGTTCGCACTCACAAGCAAACTCGTACACGTCAGCCTCCTTGAATGGAAATGCCAAGACTGCATGCCTATCAGCCCATGCCACGTATCGTATGAGCGGATCAGCCCGACTGTGCAGAGTTCCAACTGCCTTACCTGCGAACACATGTCGCAGCGACCTTGACACTTGGACCCCAGCAGGTGCCAGTGACGTGACCTTCCGACCCACATCGAAAGACTGAGGGCTCCTGAGTACAAGAGCAGTCCACTTCCGAACGGCCGCCACCAGTCTCTTCTCGGTCTGGTTCTCCCAAGAAATATCATGACGTACACGAGAGAATCGATGTGCAAAAGAGACAGCCGGCTGTTTGGGAACCGGAACAGAAATGTTGCTGCTCACAGGAATGAGGGGTAGTGGCCCCCTTCCCAAAGGTACACTGAAATCAAGCAAGCTATTTCGAAATTCAGGTGTTTCCCAAGGCATCCTAAAAACCGAGCCCTGAGAAGTTCGCAAACATGTGCTGAGGTGAGCATCGTAGGCAGAGTCGCTGGCCGTCCTCTGCCTCTTTGCACTTTCTTCGGATGCCATCCTTCAAGTGCTGCAGGCCACCGCTCGCCCCTAAAACTCGGCCGAAGCACTAACGCAATGGTTCTGCCTCGGGCTGCGAATCAAGAGCAGGTTGGGCACAGAAGAAGCTAGCACGGATTTGCCAGCTTGCGTGAAGAGCGGCCTGCATGGCTGGGCCCACCTCTATAGTCGAGACCCACCTCCCACTCTTGAGCAGCAATGTAACACGACGTGGACATTTCACATGTTCTTCAAGGAAATTTCTTCACTCAAGAAATCACTGCTCGAAAATACATTGCTTACAGTGGGAGAGGCAGCACACGGGTTAGGGCATTAAGGTTTTTGAGTTTTCTTCGCTCGCCGCCACGGCGGCTCGTCACGAACGCAAAAAGGTACTAGCTGTCGTCGCAGGCTAGACAGCAAAGGTACTTCTAAGCACAAAAACCGCCAAAGGCTGTAAATACCCAGGAGTTCCTGACCTGTAACGTCCGATGTGGCATTATTTTTGTGGTTGCCCAAAGTCGTGCTTGCTGTTTGCGGGGTCTGGTCTTGAAGTTTTGGGCGTGGCGTGGGGGCTGATAACGTCCACTTCGCCACCATCATCATGATCATCGTCATCATTGCCATCATCATTGTCATCATCCTCGTCATCGTCACAGCATGGTCATCGTTTACGTTCACATGAGGTTAGACCCTCAACATACCAATAAGTAATTATACAGTGCCCCAACCAAATCAAAATACGACCCAAAACATAAAATTCGGCTCCCGCCGAAAACCGCTAGTTTTAAGCTTTCCTGACATTTTGGACGGATTTCGTGTTATTTCCCGCGTTTCGCTGACCTGAGCCTACATTATCTTAGTTGTTGTTGTTGTTGTCCTGAGAAAAACCAACGCTTCCTTGGTTGTGGTTGCGGTTGTTGTTGCTGCTATGATTGTTATTGGTATTATTCTTCTTGTGGCTGTTGTTAGCCTTATTATTTTTCTATTGTTATGTATTGTCGTACTATTATTGTACCATTTCATTCATTGACTTATTGGATTTATTGTTACTATCATATGTAATAGTTGTTATTACTACTATTACTAATATTACTGTTGCTGTTGTTGTTGCTGCCATTGTTATCGTTGTGGTCGTTGTTGCTGTTCTCGTTATTCTCAGCCGTTGTTGTTGTTGTTGTTAGTGTTATTATTATGATTGTTCTTGTTGTTGTTATTGTTACTAGTGTCGTTGTCGTCGTTGTCGTTGCTGCTTTTGTTGTCGTGTCACTGCTTTTGTCGTTGTTGTTGTTGCTTTTGCTACTGCCCTAACTGCAGTGGAGCTTAAAGAAAGCAGCAGCGTCTCCAGTTCAGAAAAGCGGGGGGTAAAGGGGAGGGAGCAAGCAGCAAAGCTTGCAGTTTAGACAAAGCGGGGGGGGTTGGGGGGGCGGAGCCCCCCCCCATTTGTAAACCTTCCAAAAATGACCTTGTTTTTTTCGTTTTTACGCCCTGAAGCGATTTCGTGTGGTTTCTCCAGTCTTGTGTGTTGGAGAAGACGCTTTTAACCATTTGTTCGGTTTACAAAGGAGACTCTTTTTCACTTGTTTTTGTCTTCTTGCTTTTTTACTCCCCAGCGAATACGTCTGGCTTTCGCCTTCTTCTTGTCTGTCGGTGAAGACGTTTCTTTTATGATTATTTGAATTTTCCTCGCTTTTGACCCCCTGAAGCGTTTTTGTGCGGCAATTCTCCTTCTTGTGTGTTGGCGAAAGACGTGTTTGTTCATCTCTTCACGGCTTAAGCGAGCGCGGGGGTTGGGGGGTCCAGCCCCCCCCCATTTGCAACGAGGGGGCCCCTTTCGAAGAGGGCTTCGAAGGCGACGTCGCAAGGATTTTTTTTGCATGTTGGAGAAGATAATGTTAATCTTTAATACTTGAATAATAGTAATAGCAATAGTAATAAAAAATAAGTAATATGTAATAAGTAATAAGGAATAAGTAATAAGTAATAAGTAATAAATAATAAGTAAAAAGTAATACCTGGACATGCTTTTGGCTATATTTTATCGTCAGACTCCGAAGAAAAATCGTCGGGGCTGGCAAAATATCGTCGGGACATCAAAGCAACCCAAAATATAGTCGGGAATGCATTTCTGGCCAAAATATCGTCGGGACTCCGGAAATATCGTCGGGACTTCGGAAATATCGTCGGGACTTCGGAAATATCGTCGGGACTCCGGAAATATAGTCGGGAATCCAGAAATATCGTCGGGATCCTGGAAAATATCGTCGGGACCCTCGGGACCTGCAAAAATATAGTCGGGAATCCAGAAATATCGTCGGGATCCTGGAAAATATCGTCGGGACCCTCGGGAAAAAATAGTCCGAGCCCCGGAAAACTCGTCGCCCCACCGAGAGCCGCCCACCGAGAGCCGTTTAGGAAGCCCCACCGAGAGCTTGGTCGGTCGGTTGGTCGATTTGATTGTTTTGGCAGTTTTGCTTGGTTGGTTGGCCGATTGTGCACCTTGCATGTTTCACCCTTGTTTCGCCCTTGTTGCTTGCTTGGCTTGGTCGGTTGGTCGGTTGGCCGTTTGTGCACCTTGCTTGTTTCACTCTTGTGTCACCATGGTTGCTTGGCTTGGTCGATTGGTCGATTTGATTGTTTTAGCATGGTTGCTCGCTTGACTTGGTTGGTTGGCCGATTGTGCACCTTGCATGTTTCACCCTTGTTTCGCACTTGTTGCTTGCTTGGCTTGGTCGGTTGGTCGTTTGGTCGATTTGCAGGTAAAAAAATGGTTGCTCGCTTGCCTTGGCTGGTGGGCCGGTTGGGCACCTTGCTTGTTTCTCCTTGGTTGTTTGCTTGGATTGCATGGTTCTGTCACTTGGGTACCTTGGTCGTTTGACCCTTCAGCATGGTTGCTTGCTGCAGCGATTTCAATCACTCAAGGGATCCCTGAATAGATTGACCTGCCACCATGCGAAGAGGCTTTCTGCTCGGTCCGAGTGCCGGCGGATCTGCAGGCGGTCGATCGTCCTCCGACAACGGTCCGAGTGGGGTTCGCTCGAGCTCCGACAGAGGGCCAAACGCCGAATCGTCCGCAGGCGGTCGAACATCCTCGAGGAGCCCTCGTGGGGATCGCTCGAGTGGATCGTCTCAGGTCGGCCGGCCCAGCAAAGAGGAAGGCATATCAGAGGAGTTCAAGGAGCGAGCCAAGCAGCAGCTACGCCGCATGCAAGCACTCGGACTGGATGTGTTCGTTTCGGATTCTGGCGAGATCTTCTCTCAAGAGGACTTGAAGCAGCTTCTTGGAATCAAGTAGGGGAAGTGATTGAATGCTTGAGGGAACGGAAAAACGCGATCGCTTGGGTGCAAGCATGCTTGTCTAAAGACTGATTTCTTATAGATCCGGTCATCCATGACAATCACATATTTGAATCAAGTATAAGAGTCTTGATCAAATATTGTAGATTCCATCATATAAAGAATTGTTGACCAAATATATTGGTCTGACCCAAATATATACAAAAGGATATGAAATTGATGCAAAGACGCTCACTCTTCTTTTCACGGCACAGCCGAGAGTCGTGGGAAGTTTTCAAGGAAAACGAAGGTGCACAGGGCGTGCACCGGGCACTAAGAGTGCCCCTCCACTTAAGCAGAGGCACACGAGTGCCCCCCAGAGTCCAGTCGCACGATGGAGTGCAACGTGACCACATTCTTCCCCCAGGGCGGGTTGGGTGGGATCAAAAAAACTCTGGCTCGATCTCGAGACAGCCTCGATGATTGCAGATTCAATCATGACCAAGTGTCCGTTTAACCGCATGGTTTAAAAATCGTTACTCGACACGAGAAACGAAATCATGCAACAGCATTGAAAGTTGTTAAAAGTCTGGATTGTGAAGCACTACTAAGAGTAGCGCAAAGATTGTCATGGCCCAAAATTTTGTTGCTAACAAAATTTCGTTTGACCTAGGATCTATAAAACATCGACACGCACGCGTGAAGTGATGCTTATAGATCCGGTCATCCATGACAATCACATATTTGAATCAAGTATAAGAGTCTTGATCAAATATTGTAGATTCCATCATATAAAGAATTGCTGACCAAATATATTGGTCTGACCCAAATATATACAAAAGGATATGAAATTGATGCAAAGACGCTCACTCTTCTTTTCACGGCACAGCCGAGAGTCGTGGGAAGTTTTCAAGGAAAACGAAGGTGCACAGGGCGTGCACCGGGCACTAAGAGTGCCCCTCCACTTAAGCAGAGGCACACGAGTGCCCCCCAGAGTCCAGTCGCACGATGGAGTGCAACGTGACCACATTCTTCCCCCTCTCGACTATGCGTTACGTTGCTTCAAGAGTGGCGCCTGTGACAAAGCAAGTCGGCACGTCACGAGTGACAGGACCAAGGAATGCCAGCTCCTCCCATCTGCCTCGGGATGGCGGATCCGCGATGTTGCTCTGGCTCGGTACACGATGAAACCACGGCAGGCACGGGCGTGCTTCATCGGCGGCCTCCAAGTGAAGAAGGAGACTCCTCCAGGATGCATCGATCGAGTTCGAGTTGATGCAAGCACTCAAGACGCCGGAATGGTCGACGAAAAATATGCATCGTTCGCCATCAATGTAACTCGACCACAGGATCCGGGCAAGCACGACCGCGTAAAGCTCGACCTGCCCTATAATGTGTTTCCTACCCTCGGCCCATTGCTTGACGAGCTTGCTAGGAACCCTACAACCGAAAGCCCTAGCAACACCCTCGCCGGGGACAAAGAGAACCCCACCGACACCAGTACTGAAGCCGCCCTCGCAAGGGTCGCATGCGCCATCTGTGAAGATGAGGACTGGGTTCGAGGCAGGGCTCGTCACAATGGCACGCGGCCTGCTCGCAAGAAGTCTTGCCCTCAGAACAGCCAAGGCATTCGATTGAGTATCCGTCAGGTTCAAGACACCCCCTCTGTCACCGAAGAGCCTGAGGTCGGCCAGGGCCAATCGCCCTGTGCGACCAAGCAGCTGAGCATCTGCGAAGCGAAGCTT